CGACGTGCAAAAAACGGTCGACTTACTTCATCGGACCAACACGGGGGATTTCAGTTCCGTCTGTGTCCCCACACTCAATTTCCAAAAATCCTTGGCACACCCCATCTTGCTGTTTTTCGGGGCCCCTTTTCCGCACCTCTAGCACTCCGAACGAAAGGCAGCACAGGGCGTGAGGTTGCGCGTCACAGGGTAGGGTGTTCAAAACTTGGAAAAGCAATAGTGGCTACTGGCAGGTATGGGTGGTGAAAAAAATGTCAGCTACGGCCAGGTGTGGGTGGGATTATGCTTGAAGGTCTGAGTGGGGCTGGGTGGTGAAAAATATGTCTAGGTCTAGGCAGGTCCGGCTGCAATTTTTCTTCAAGATCAGGGCTCGTGCGGATCTGGGTTTGTACACTCAAATCAGGCCCAGCTGCACCTGGGCCAGAGGATTTTTAAAGTCGTTATGGCTGGCTACAGATGCCAAATATTATGGATGTTAAATATGGGTTGGATGTGGCTTTAGGAGAAGTAGGAGTTTGCGAGCTCTGCTGCAGCGGCCGGTCGGGTTCCGAAGGGCACTGCCCAAGAAAGCACACAATCTGCTGCGACTGATCAGTTTCCGGTCATTTATACCGTCGCTGGACCGGTAGGCAGCAAAGGGAGGACCAATGACACCATCCTTTATCCAGGTTAGTCCCTACCAGACTCGATCAACACCCTTGATGTTGTAGACTAACATTCTTCAACCTTGATCCCTACTGTGAAATCGGAACTCTAAACTGAAGAGTCTTCTCAATTGAAGTCGTAGTGGAAGCTGAAAGTTGATGGACATGAAAATAAGAAGGGGAATTTTGCGATATGCCCCTCAAGTTTCCATTTATTTCCCATATGCCTCTCTGGCAACCGATTTACCCTGTCGTGCCCCTGGGATCTCTAGACTTTCCCACGGGCCCCTTTCAGTGAGGGGCACAACTTTCCGGGAAGCCGACTGCAGGCCCGATTGCAACGGTGGCTCCGCGATATGCCCTCGTCAAGGGCATGCAGCTTTTTGTGATGCCCTTCCGCATTGACGCACCAGAAAATTCGAATTTGAAGTGTATGTTTTTTCATGCACCGTCTCCAAAAAATCTTATGCAGTCCACATCACGCTTACTACTGCAACCTACAACGTCGAGTTCCTTTGCAGTGTGCTGCAACCTGTCACCTTTGAGCTTCTTTGTTTCTTACGTGAAGTTATATCGCTCTCCCTCTCCCTTGCCCCTCCGCCTGTCCTCTTTTCCTGTTCGTTTGGCGTCGAGCTTCTCCTGTGTCTTCATGTCTGTCTCGTGAATGTGTGTGTGTGTGTGTGTGTGTGTGTGTGTGTGTGTGTGTGTGTGTGTGTGTGTG